TTTTGGCAAGATGCGAAACAATGTTACTTTTAGTAAACAATCGCCTTGTCCTTGCCAGCAATAAATTTCTAGTGTCAACTGAAAATGTCACTTTAAGGGTTGAGAAAAACCTGTCCCAACTTTTTCAAATTACCTTTATTAATAAGGACTTGAGAATTTCATATCCTAGAAAACGTGTAAGTATCAATTCTTCTAATTTTGTTCACTCTTGAAAGGCAAAAGCACAAACAGGAAAGTAAAGCATACTTCCTGATGCATTGGTTTTAGCTGTTACTGGGGCAGTATTGGCATAAATAGAAAATGAAGCTGCTCTTTCTCTTGTTCGGAGGTTTCATTTTTAGAAGCTAGGACAATATTATATCAAACTTGTTTCCTCCAACAAGGACTCCCACATCTAGCATTTATTTATTTGTTCATTCATTAATTCATGCAAATAGTAAATGATTGCCTATAATATGCCACATACTGTGCTGGGTGTTGAGGATCTAACTCTGCAGCCTGACAACTTAGGTTCTAATGAGGAGAGAGAAAAATAAGCAAGTGAATTTCATGTGATGGTATATGGTGTGTAGAAAGTAAAGCAGGATGAAGCCAGGTGAATGTATGTGTATGTGGGCATGAAAGGGGAGGGGCAACTGCAGCTACTTTTTTCTTCTGTTTTTTAGAGATGGGGGATCTCACTATATCCCCAGACTGGTCTCAAATTCAATTCTTGGGCTCAAGGGATCCTGTAGTAGCTGGGACTACAGGCAGGAGCCTCCTTTAGATAAGTGGTCAAAGGTGGTGGTGACATTTGATTTGAGATCCAAATGATGGAAAGGAGCCAGGCATTCATATGAAATGGGAGAGTTCTCTGATCCCCCTTGCAGGATGTGCAGCAGGGGTATGGCTCACCTGTTTGGTCACTGCCACTGCTCAAACCCCTGATGGGAGTAGGACCATGCAGACGGGCAGGTACAGGAGCCAGGGCAAGTGCTTTGGGCTCCAGCCCTGTGGTAGTGTCTAGGGGTGAGTGCCTGTGCTCCCAGTGTTACAATGGTCTTTTAGCCTTACTGTCCATGGACAGCTTAAGTGTTAACCAGCTCAATGGACCCTCTGATTTTTTGCAAGGGCAGAGGGCCAGGGTGACAGCTTTCTATGTCCTGAGCTCTTGCCCAGCATCCAGGAAGAATGCAGTCACACATGGGCTTGAAGGATGAATGTGGGGTTTTGCTGAGTGGTAGAGGTGGCTCTCAGTGGGATGGATGGGGATCTGGAAAGCGGATGGAGTGGGCAGATGATCTTCCCCTGGAGTTTGGCCGTCCAGCAGCCGAACTCCTCTCTGACCTCCCAGCTGAACTCTCGGCATTCAGATGTCCCTCCTCTTTTACTCTGCCATGCCATCCGTCTGCTTGTTTCCTTGTCTCCTTGTTGGCTTGCCTGCTTCTGGAGCCTGAGGTTTGGGGTTTATATGGATACAGGATTGGACGGCGTGGTGGGCCTAAAGGTAACTTTTGGGGCACAAAACCAGAAATGACTGTTCCTACTTAGGGCCAAGAGTCTCCAGGCTTGGGGATGGGGCCTTTGCTGGGGAACTACCCTATTCTACCCCGTATTTCCCTGTCTCCTGTCCATATTATATAGATCTTAGGGAAGAGCTATCTGGAGCTGTGCTGTCTAGCACAGGGGTGACTGAAGCTCTTGAAATGTGGCTAGTGTCAAATGCTGAAGTGATATTTTTGATATAGTTGCTGAGAGAAAACATATTAAAATTAATTCATCCGATTGTTTTTACTCCTTAATGTGGCTTTGGAAAATTAAAGAAATACATACATGGTTTACATTATATTTCTATTGTACATCACTGATGTAGACAGAAAATCTTAATCCGGTTCCTGCACACAGGTCCCTAGGATCCTCATGGATTGGGTGTGTTATGAGTTTGAGCTAGGCTGGGCACAGTGATTCTTGCCTGTAATCCCAGCACTTTGGGAGGCCAAGGTGGGAGGATTGCTTGAGACCAGGAGTTCAAGACCAGCCTGGGCAACAAAGTGAGATCCCCGTCTCTACAAAAATTAAAGAGCTTAAGCTAATAAAAACACTAGCTACAATGTACTGAACAGTTACGGTGTGCCCGATGAGTGCAAAATTGCTTTACATCCATTCATTGTATCCTCATGCTGTTCCTGGAAAGTGGTCCCACTCCAGACCCCTAGAGAGTGTTCTTGGATCTCTTACAGGAAAGAATTCAGGTCAAGTTCATACAGTAAAGTGAAAGCAAGTTTATTAAGAAAGTAGAGGAATAAAGGAGTGGCTACTCCCTAGGCAGAGCAGCCCTAAGGGCTGCTGGTTACCCATTTTTATGGTTATTTCTTGATGATAGCTAAACAAGGGGTGGATTATTCATGCTTCCCCTTTTTAGACCATATAGGGCAACTTCCTGACGTTGCCATGGCATTTGTAAGCTATCATGGCACTGATGGGAGTGTATCAGTGAGGATGACCAGAGGTCACTCTCATTGCCACGTTTGTTTTGGTGGTTTTTAGCTGGCTTCTTTACTGCAGCCTGTTTTATCAGCAAGGTGTTTATGACCTCTGTCTTGTGCTGACCTCCTATCACATCCTGTGACTCAGAATGTCTAACCTGCTGGGAATGCAGCTCGTAGGTCTCAGCCTTATTTTCCCCAGCCTCGTTTATTCAAGATGGAGTTGCTCTGGTTCAAACGCCTCTGACAATACCACTATGAAGTAAGAAATACTTCCCGCCCTATTTTACAGATGAGGAAATGGAGGCCGAGGGGCCGAGTAGTTTGCCTAAGGTGACAGGCCGCTGAAATAATGCTGCGAGAAGTCAAAACCAGTCCAGATCCTCCCATGCGAGACACAAGAAGCCACCGGAGGAAGGGGGAGGCGGGAGCTTAGAGCACCTTGGCGTCCCCAGCGCCGCGTGTACCGCGCTCTCCTCTGCGCCGCCGGAGGCCTTGAGTTCGTGTCCCCCCGGCCCCTGCCAGGCCGACCTCCCCGCGCTCTTTCCGAGACCCAAGCCGACCCCCAGGACGACCCCGCCGCCCGGGCCCAGCTGTATCGGATCCAACCTGCCCGCGACCGAGGAGCTCAGGGCTACCCCAGGTGATGCTGCCTAGCCCCACCGGCGCCCCGGCCCCTGCCGCGCCTCCCGCCCCTGGAAAGCACCACATCCCGCAGGCTGCATGTCTGAGTCTGTGTGTGTGTGTCCACCAGAGTGTCAGAATCCCTCATCCCCAGCTTGGAGGGCCCGCTTTTTCCTCCCCTCGAGGTTGCCTGCCTGGGCAGTCATCCAACTCTGTGTCCACCGCGGAGACAGTGGGGACAGTATGCCAAGACCCACCAACCAGGCTGGACCCTAAGATGCCCTGAACACGTGGGCAGCTATTCCAGATACACCCTCCCATTTTTCAGGACGGCACTCGTTTCGGTTAGAGATTTCTTAGAGGAGGTTGTGAACAGTCATCAGCGCTTTTAGGGGGAGCCTAGTGACACTGCCAATTGGCAGATGTCTGTCAAAACCACTTGCGGGACTGGACAGTGATGACCAGGAGAAAAGGTTTATTTTTTATAAAAGGTCGTCTGGTATTCATATGACAAGCCCCATTTTGTTATGCCCACCCAAGAACAAGGGAAGAGCCTCATCTTCATCGTGCTTGAGTCTGACTCAGTGTAGCTGTGACTCATCCTTTTTAGGACAGCTTCCCTGCTACAATAGCACAAATAATGGTCCGGGAACTAAAACGACTTTGTCAAACAGTTGGATGGAGAGAAGGTGGTAGAGTCGCCACCCGATGCCAAGAAACCCCCCCCCCACCCCCGTTTTTCCTTTAAGCTGTTCTCCTGAAGTTCATTGTAGCCAGGTTTCATGGTGAGGCACCATAATTTATACCACTTACCCTGGATCCCCTTACGTGTTTATGTGACAAATTGGCACCCATATATTAACAAGCTTTAAATTTGGCAAGACATAGGTAACACCAGAATTGAAAGTGAGGGGCTTCTGGCAGGATTTCACATCTGCCAGCTTTTATATTTGACGCTTTCTCTAGGAGCTTGGCAAAAAGCAAACACCAAATCAAAAGGTAAAAAAATCAAATCAAAACAACAACAACAAAAAAATCAAACCAAAATAAAGATAACAATAGGAGAGAACTGGGACACGATCTTCTTATAGTTGGCTTATTACATGTGTATCTGTAGAATTATTTATTTACTTAAACCCATTTCCTTTTGTACTTTATGACATTTCTGTGTAACTGAAATAGAATCTGAGAGACCTCTAAACTGATATTTATAGATCCTACCCTCAAAACAGATTGATAGTGAGGTAGGGATGAACTAGTATAGTCAACCACTGAATTAGTAAGAGCTGGAGTAAAAACCAGGCCATTAGCTTCACTCAGGTCATCTTGAGGTAGTAAAGTAGCTCTCTTTCATTTCTACCCATCTTTCAGTTTTCCACACGTATTTTTACAATTATAAAGGATTAATATAGGAAGAATGGAAATTATGGGAGCAGGCAGGATGTGAAAACTGTCTTATTAATCCAATGGCTTAAAATGTATTTATAAATTGCAAAGTTAATCGGATTCCTTAAATCTATTTATTTTAGGAATCTTTTCAGCTCTTAAGAAAAAAGTTTTTGGAGGTCAGAAACTGATAGTGGACTTCTGAAAAAGAGAAGAGAGAAAGAAATTATAAGTAATTCAAAAGTCTTGTCTCTATGTGGAATTTCCTTTTCTTTCAAGCTGCAGTGTTTGGGTGTTTATTTGCTAATATTCCTCTGTTTCTCTCTCCCTTTTTTCTTTTTTTAATTCCCATTAAGTGGAGGTTACACCTTTTGTAATTGCCCCACAGTTCTTGTATAGTCTCTTCTGATTTTTTTCCTAGTCTTTTTTTTCTGTTTTTCAGTTTTAGAAGTTTCTAGTGACATAGCTGGCTTTTTCACTGCGACCTGTTTTATCAGCAAGGTCTTTATGACCTGCATCTTGTGTTGTACAGGAAAAAAAAGAACTTGGTACTGGTTCCTGCAGAAATTTCTGTTTGTGGGTTCTGGCTCTGCTAAGCTGTGATTCTCTGTATCTACCTGTTTGTCTCTCCAGTTTTGGGGGCAGCAGTTTGCTCTGTGACTCTGTGTCTCTGACGAACCCAGGAAGAGTTGTTGATTTTTCAGTTCAGCTTTTTACTTGGTAGGATGGAATGACAACTTCCAAGCTCTTTACATCCCATACTGGAAACTCTAAGTTCTCAGTCAATATTCTCTCATTACAGGAAATGGGAACCTTCTGATAAACTCAAGGTGGGAAAAAAAGAACAAAAAAATAAAGAAATAATTTCTTGAAAGTTTATGGGGTAGCCCAGAGAATTACCTGAAGACCTATTCAGGCAATCATAGAAAATAAAGAATTGAGAGAAACTCAGAGTTTGCAGGCCTACCTTGGATTGCAGTCCCACGAAGCTTCAGTAGGTGAGATTATTCCTCAAAGGAAATTCAGGGTACTGTTAGCAGCAGCAGAAGGATGCATTACAGGGATAAACACCTTTGTCCAGGGAAAGAGGAAACCAAGCAGCTGCTGAGATCCTGACTCACCCTGGCTATTCCCCACTGAGATGGAGGACCACAATTAATTTTTTAGATCAAAGACTTACAGGATTCTCACCCAATGTTAGAATTCTGAATATTCTTTATGTTTAGTGAATTTTCGAATATTGGGGGTTAAATTTTTATATGAACATTATATAAATCACATTGATACATAAGAATACCACTTACTGTTCATAGGATTTATTTTTATTTTTTAATTTTTTTGTAAAGACAGGGTCTTATTATGTTGCCCCGGCTGGTGTCAAACTCCTAGCCTCAAGTGTCCCTCCTGCCTCGACCTCCCAAAGTGCTGGGATTACAGGCATGAGCTACCGAACCGAGCCTGGATTTATTTTAGATTTCTTCACTTGACATATATTCTAAGTATCCGTAGTGTATCTCCCTTTACTCATTTTAAGTAAACACTATGGGAAAAAGCTCCTAGGTAATCATTTTCATAGTGTTTATTTTTTTTGCTTTGAAATAGAATCAAATTTTCTAAAGACGCTGCCTGATCCAGAATCTGCTTTGTTTTGCCAAGGAAAATTAAAGATAAAAAATTTGAGGCCGAGCAGACTACTTGCCAATGATTTATCTGGGGAATAAAGAGCATTCCTGATCACCATCCGTTTCTGCTTACCTGATATATCAATTTGAGGTCAGTTGCAGACCACAGAATTTACTCAAGCTAGTTGGTGCTGAAGGGGATTTATTATTAGGCATTGGTTGGCTTATAAATGCAATAGAAGAATTACAGGAGTAGACTCAAGGTTGGATTCTTTGGACAAGAATTAGAATAACTCTACATTGAGCAGGAAAGCTGATAGAACGTGGCAGAACCAGGAAGCTACTGACCGAGTCCTTCAGCTACACCAGTGTAGACGCTTTGTGTTCACTCTGAGAAAATTGAAGTCAGGCATGAAAGTGGAGGAGATTGTAAAAGAGTAGTGCAAGAGTCACAGAGGCCAAAGGAAGAGTGTTTCAAAGAGAATAGAATGGGAAAGAGGATCTCAGAAATGACTAACCATCAACAAGGAGGCTGTTGGAAATCTTAGAAGAATCATTCTAGTGAGCTCAATGAAGCAGGAATGCAGTGGGTAAAGGAGTGAGTGGGAGGGGCGAAAACAAAGGCGGTGTGACCGCTCTTTCAAAAAAGCCTGGCTGCGAAAAAGAAGAGAGAGGGGGTGTTGTTAGAGTGTGACATAGTGGGGAGAGGGTGACTTTCTCATTTTAGAAGGTGGGAGAGACTAGTAGTACATTTTTAAATTCTTGTAGGAGGAATCAATCTATTGAGTAAAAATGGTTGAACATTCAGGAGAACAATGTGTAATGGATGGAGTATGGTTCCTGAAAAGGTGGGAAGTGGTAAGATCAGAGAGTTGAGGAGAGGGTGGGAGTGGTAGGGTCTGATATTTGAGATATCTGCAATAAAGAATGGGAGAGAAAGCAGTTCAGGCATCAGGCAGCTTTGAATCCTGATATAGAATATCTGTACTTAAAAAAATGAAGTATTGCAAATATCTAATAGGTAGATCCTAAAATGTGCAACTGGGTCAGTCATGGTAGGATGGCAGCTGTGCAAATCCCATTATACATGGCTGAGAAGTTAGCAAATTTTATGGATCTGTTAAGATACTACTGATTACAAGGCATAAATATAATTTATGTTCAATCATAAAATTAAGGAAATGTATTGGCTCACATGGAAAAATCCAAAGGGGTGTGGGCTTCAAGTACAGTTTGATCAAGGCTTTCTTTGTGAGTTACTCTGTTTGTCCCCCTTGTATGTTCTGGCTTTCTTCTTGTCTTCCCTCAGGATTACACTGTGACTGCTAGTAGCAAGCAGGGCTTAGGATTCCAGGAAAAAAACAGGAAGAGTGAAGAGGGAAAGGAAAAAAAAAAAAACCAGCTTTCTGCCACTTTTTGTTCCAATCCAATCTTTCACCATTTGTCCCCATGGCAGGACCTAACAAAAAGCCAGAGGGTAAGAGCGCTGAGAATCAACTCCAATACAGAGCAGATGAAGGGAAGTGTGGGAACGTGAATCTTAAAGCAAGCAAGCAGATGTTTGGCGCAGGTTCAAGAGATACTAGACAGCCCAAATGGAGTGGCCCTCTTAGGAGTGGCCCTGGAGCAAGGTAGACAGAAATCCTCCCAGCACACAGAACCTGAGGAACTCATTCCACTACCAGCTTGTGGAGGCCTTGTCCTGCCTAGGCCACAGGAGACGATGGCTGTCATGTTTTGGTGGCATAGTACGCCATTAGAAATGGTATGCTATTCTGAGCCAGAGTTTGCCTCTCAGCTAGCCAGTTCCCCACCTTTCCACAGTGAGTTGGGAGTGGCTGAATGTCATATTTAGCCACATCCTGACCTGAACAAAGGGAATTCCCATCACATGGAAATCCTGAGTGCTGGAAGCTTGCTGCTGTTCTAAGTGAAGGCAGCTTTGGGTTGTATTTGGGAAAGAGGGCAAGAGTGCTTAGATGGTACAAATAAAAGTTGTATTTCATTAAAGAAAACATACATGAAAAAGGAGAGTGTGTGCTAGACAGGAACTGGGCTGTGGTTGCTATTGTCTTGGGCTGTTAGCATGGTTTTCCTCCCTCCTTCTCCAGATGCTCCAGAATTTTGACAGGGACCCCATACTAGTAAGATACTTGGCTTGGAGAGCACTTTACATAGCGCACATGGCCAAAACCCTCAATTTCCCATGATCTTTGTCCGCATACTCTTCAGGAGAGGGGATTATAGTGAAATGCCTGTGGACCAGACAGCCAATGGGTTAGATGAAGTGGACAGCTGTTGTTTTTGTCTGTCCATCATCCCTTCCTTGGGAACTAACCTCTGCCCTCCATGTGGTTCTGGAAAGGGCTCAAATCACAGGCAAGTATATCTTGTCTCTAGAGGAGTCACATGACCTCAGGTAGGCCAATCTGATACTCTTCCAGGAATTTGAATTGTGTCTTCCAGACACAACTGGGCCATGAAGAAGTTGATGATGGCTCATCTGATGGCAGAGCCCTGGAGTTTCTTACTGGAATCTCTAGCACTGCCCTGCTCCCTGTCCTTCCTGAGGCCCACGTGGTCAGCTATGTGCATTCCCCAGCGTTCCTCCTATAAACCTTGTCTTCTGTCACGAGAGTTTTCTGTTTCTGATAACCAAAAACCTCTGAGACAAGAATCAACATGATTTCAAGACTTAGCTGTCACCACAGAGCTTAAGATTGAAGTTGGATCTCCATTGCTGGGGTTATGTGGGACAGAGATACTCTTAAGTTGACACACATCACCAAGGTTCTGGGACAAGATGTGTTGCACAGAAGCTCGTGGATCCTATATGTTTTTGAAAAACATTCCATAACCTGGGTTATATAAATATTTTCTTAGAAGATATGGTTTCAAAGTAACACATGAATTTTCTTTTTATCTAATACTATAAAAAGTAATATACTAAAGAAGCTTCTTCAGGATAAACATTCTCTTGCCTTCTGCCTGCTGCATTTTATGAAAAGGGTAATGTTTTTTCCTGTTTATTAGTGCTATGCATGTGTAATTGATAGTGTGGTAAATGGATAGTGTGGTAAATTCACAGTAAAAATTCATATATTTTACTGTGACTTTAGGATAGTCTGTTGCTGAAAGATAACTGCTGAACATGCACAGATGCGTACGATTCTAAACACTGTGCTTACAAATAATTTATTCTTATTTCATACATTTGCTTTTCAGCAAAAAATGCATAGTTATATTATTTACACAGACTTTCATATTCAAGACTGTAGGGAACAAATGTATCAGGAAACCAAAATCATAGCAAATCATACAACAGAAATGTGTCACAATTTTTTTCAGCTTCATGCACAGGGCTGGCCAAAATGATACCTATTTCTATAGATTATTTTGTTTATCACATAATGCAGAATTATGATTAGGTAATGCTTTTCTGTTAGAATACACTATTGATTTGAAACCACATGGTAGTTCATGTCTGGAAACTCATATATCCTGAGAAAGCCTCTCTTGCTAGTTAAATACAGTTCATTAGGACGTAGGTGAGGACGGGAGTTAAGAGTAGCCTAAAAAGGATGAATCTGGCAAGCAATGGGAAAAATTTCTTTATGTGTGCATCATTTTTACTCCCTTCTTTCTCCTTCATCACTCTTAAATGAACTTAAAAACCAAAACCAAAACCAGACACATGAAGGTCTCTATTTGCTCACTGTTAAATCTTCCCTCTGCCTCTGACCTGAGGAAGAAATGAGTATGGCCTTTCAAGTATAATGCCCTTTACTGCAAAAGGGGACCTGCTGGTAGTACATTTTTGCAAATCCAAGGACAGTCACCATATTTATATCCTTAGTTTGGAAATGGATGAAGCTCATAAGGCAGATGGTTGGAAAAGGCCAAAATACACATGGCATCCTTTTTGAAATCATTTCTCTTCAAGCTGGATATGTCGAAAGTGAAGGCTTCATTGGTAGTGAAAATGGCCTGGGAGATGGCTGAAATGAAGAGAGTTCAGAGCGACCACATGCTCTATGCAGATTTCAAAAAGCAGCCACAGAATCCTCCTCCAGCCCTGAAACACAGAAAGCCTTTTCCTGGTCCATGTAGTGATGGCAAGGGGCTTACTCTTCTTTCTACTCTGAAGAAACAAGGGACAGAGTTCCAGGGTTGTACATTTTACCGGCTATGTTACTCACCATGCTTATAACTTGGTACTCAGCTAACTGGTTAGAATAATTTTGTTCATAGTCTTCAGAAAAGAAAACCAGCCTGGTCGAAAAGTCTTCTGTGCTAGGTTTTGCTGGGAGAGGGAATTTAATAAAGTTTCTAACCAGAATTTTTTAAAAAGCTTTAAAATTTAGCCATAAGACACATCTAAAACCTCTCTAACATGCTTTCTTCTTTTTTAAAAAATGATTTGTATCCTTCTTTTAACTATACATTATTTATATGTTAAATGACCTACCAGGTCTTTATCATTTGGGTAAGAGCTCAAGGTGATTAAACTCCCCAATAAAGATGAGTCTTTCCAAAAAGCTCCGGTTCTCATTTATGTGCTAAGGCCTATTTTTACAAACACATTGCTATTAGAAACTTTACAAATATAAAATTGAAATACTTCTTTAAAAAATTTTCCCATGAATTTTATTTTTTGCATTCAGCGTATTAAGAAACAGATTATGCTTTCTAACTAGAGATGGAACTAAGAAGAAATGAAATTGTGTTCCCATGCTTTATCTAGAAACACGGGTCTATTTACATGGTGTCCTTCTTCAATATCATGGTGAGCTGGGAGAAGCAGGGCCATCTTTATAGCATGGCCAAATGACCACCTGAAGACAGACCCCCCATTCTGCCTTGAGTGCTTCTTGCATATTTTGGTTGGAGGTATAAGGCCTGAAAGAAAGGTGGCCTGTCACTTTTACACATTCGAGAATAATTTTGCACATTCAAGAAATTTTCCTTGAGAAATGCCATATTTGGAATAGCTTCCAGAGATTGATTGAGAACAAAAGCAGTAGAGCAAGTGCATTACATTTAGAAGCACAAGACATTGGGAAACATTCTCAAAAGCTCAAAGAGTAGTTTTTCCAATGAGCTAAATAGTAAATAGGTGTGCATATTGTTGCATATAGGTATATGTTCAGAGCTTTCAAAGGTCACATCCTGCCACAGTTAACAGCTAAATGAGCATTCTTGGTCCTTGACTTACAAATAAACACTCTGAATTCTGCAGCTTGTTCACAGATTCTTAAGAAGCCGTTCTAGAACAAAAATGCCTACAAACTGGTTAGAAACCTGCAAACCAGAAATGCAATACAGTTATTCTTTCTTAAATGACAACAACAGAAATTTGTATGAGCTTTTTGGAAGAGTGACTAAGAAGGACTGACATCCATTTTCACAATTAAGAAATACTTATTCATAATATTGAAGAAACCAAATCTTCCATAAGAAAATGTGCGGCCTCTCACAAAAGAATACAACAGTGCTCAACTTCAAACGCTGAATGCTTCCTTTTTCTGTTTGTCTAGGCTTGTTCGCTTTTTGTCAGGCAATATATGTCAGACAATATTGGCGATCCTTCAAGAAAATGATTCAAAAGGTGATTTACAATTGGCTGGTGCTATCCCCTAATGCCTGTTTTGCCTGTGTCCTAATTTCATGGAAACAAATTAAGGACATTAAGCCAGGAGATAAATGTACTACTCAAAATATGCCTGGACACTCGTGCTCAGGTCAAAAGCTGCAAGGTGTGGTTAAGCTGACAAACAGAATTCCTTGTCTGTCTACTTGAACGCTAACACCCTGGGAGTTCACATGCTTTTCTGAAGACAATTTAAAGGCTAACTGCATAGTTAAACTTGCTGCCCCATTCTGACTGTTTGACTCTAATCCTCTTTGTTCTCGCCTTCCCATGCATTCTTCCTATCTTTTTTACATCTGACACTTTCCTCCAAATTAATGCTTTCTAAGACATGTTTCATAAGTCACGACACAAAGATTTAAAAGAGGAAAAGGGCTAGAGAACATTAATCTCATTAAGTTTGGAGATCTAAGCATTTGAGCTCTTACGTATGTGGTTTGTTTGTTGTTGTTTTTATTTTATTACACTATAAAATTCAGACACTTAAAAGACATCACAATTTAGGCACATTGGATGATCCACTCTTCATAATAGTATGAATGTTATCAACCTTCCAATAGTTATTGTTACTAATGTTTTCATAGTATTAGTAATAAGTTTTTCAATTCTGTACATATGCTGACTATCCCCTCCCCTGGATTGTTCATTACATTTTCAAGTTATGTTTAACAGTAGGCCTAGAAGCAGACAGAAGAAGAGAAAAGAAAGAAATTGATTGCTGAGGAAGTCAGTGTGTGAATAGAAATAAGATTCTATGCACTGCACTTACGCTAACAGAAAAGAGACCCAAACTCGGGGACTTACAGCATTCTGCCTACAGCTAAGATCAGAGTTTGGTTCCTGGACAGAGAGACTTTCTGGGGCTTCTTTGTTCCACCAGAAGACAAAAGGGTAATGGCTGTAATAATACAGATGGGTCCTTGCCCAATGTCTTACACACAGTAGGTGCTCAATGATCATGAAAGGGATGACATGATTGCATGAACGAACAGCTCAAAGAATGCTGACAGAGTGAAGTCAGCAGTGGTAAACTTCAACAGTTGAAGAACAAGATGATAACAGCCATTTTAAGTGGCTGATAACATTTTGTGTGACATATTTTGATCTAATTTCAAAGGCAGCCATATCTTTGCTCAATTTTAAAGTTAGTTAAGGGACTGTCTTTATATCATTTTTCCAATTAGTGTCTGTGTGCTTGGTCAGGCATCATAGCCATGCAAACTAGTAAACACAATTGAGCACACAAATGGTCCCTGCATCCTGTCACTTTGGACCAACTGTAAAGCCTTGAGATGGAGATAACTTCTACCATAGCTGTCTCCTATTATAACTTTGTGCAGATGAACTAATTAAAGTTATGAAGAGATTTGAAGATAAAAATTCCTGTTTATTATTGCTGTCAGTCCTCAGATTTGGCACCAAATCAGGAAAAAAACGATGAAAATCACCTCTATCCTGAAATTTTGCATTCTTAGAAATAACTCCCATTAAGTATCACTATAAATTAGGCGAAATGGTTTTTTGACCGCAAGCACTTACAAGCTGGATTTATGAATGGAAACACTGAAGGCCACTCTGTCCAGCTCTGAAGCCCCATACTTTCTCCCTGGGCTATTTATAGAAAGTGTATAGCTAGTGGAAAAGTTCACATTTATTTTTACAAGCCAGTCATGACATGACTGAAGAACTCACTTCATCTCTCTGGGAAGGTCATCCTCTTCACCTGAGCTGCAAGAAGGGCAGGGAAGAAAGTAACCCCGTTAGCCAACTAAGTCAGTCTGAGTCAGCCCCAGAGACCAACTCACAGGGTGACAGGCACTGAAGACGAACACCTTCATTTTCCAGGCATGACTCTATGGTGCTGCTCCTTGAGACGTCATCCAGATCATGACTAACAAGTAAAAATGAAACGTATTACATAATATGCTTCAAAATTCTACTGCCAAAATAGGTTGTACAGAGATAATGGAGTGAATTCTTATTTATAATTTGTCCTACATTTCAAACAGCTGAGCACAATAAAAAAGTAAAACTGAATTTTAACGTGGCAAAATGGAAAGTGTGAAAAATATTTCAAAATATATGTTGTTCTGACTGCCACATTACCCCGAAATACATAATAAACCAGGATAGTTCCATGCAAGTGGGAGATTCAAAGTAAACATTTGCTTCTAAAACATCATTATCTTGAGAGAAATCTGATCTAATTTAGCTAATGAACTGTATAGTTTTAACAAGTCATCCCTGGTTTTGAGTAGTATATATGGTACCTATTTGCAAATATGAAGTGAAGCCAAACCAGTTTTCCACTAGAACATCCTCTTGTCAATATCATATGTGGTCTCCAAAATCTAAGACGGAACAGGAAAGGACAGTGGACGAACGAAAAGGCAAAGGGAAGAGGAAAGTGAGTCCTCATTCTCTCCGGGACATACTGGGTGCTGAAAGCTGCGTGGCACAAAGTGTGTCATCTCACTGTCCTCATGAGCATAATCACCTGAAAAATGATATGGGTATAATTTTATCCTTAAGTGGCCTCTCCTTAAGGTCAAAGACACAGGACAAGAAGCGAATTCTGTCTGTGGACCTGGAAGACCAAAAAAAAGATTAAAATGACAAATTCGTTGTTTTAGCTATTGTTCTCAAACTCATCAATCCTTTCTAGAAGTCTTTTTCTTGAAAGTTCCTTCTGAAATCGAGGTCCCATTTTACAAGAAATGACATAATACGCTTTAATCTGTTTTTCTAGCTTCCAGACCGATGTTCTTTGGGACTCTAGAAGAGACAATGATGACATGCAAATAAATTTGCATCTGGAAATATCCTGATTTCCACACTTGTCCTTGAATGCATGTATTGAATTAAGTTACAGCTGAGGAATAACATCTATGGTAAGTACAAATTAGCCCCTGTAACCCAACAGGAATCTCCTTGTACTTCACAAAGGATGAGACACTAACAGTCATCAGCAACTATCCAAAGTGTATTTACAATCTCATTAAGAGGTTCTAAATTAAACATAGACATATATAAGTTTAACTTCTATGTGCAAAATAACACACACAAGGATACTGGTTCCTCCGGGGAATTGTGCTGAGCTTCTCTGTTTACAAATAGAGAAATGATTAAAAGCATAAACAAAAACAGCCAATTGTTTTAGAAGCGCCAGCCTATCAGTGCTGAGGTTAAGTGTTCATCTACCTCATATGCATGATCTAAATTATACCGTAAAGTCAAGATGCACCTGTGGGACATGATCATCCTGCCCAAGACCTTCAACCAGGTGATGGAGATCAGCCCAAGATGATCAGCACTACCTGGGCAAGCTCTCCATCAACTACAAGCCAGTGAAGCACAGCTAGCTGGGCATCGGGGCCACCCATTCCTCCTGCTCAGCCTATTGGCACGCACGTCTTAAAAAAAAAAAAAAAAAAAAATCCCCATTCAGTGACTTGACTTGGCTCCTAACAAAACCACTTACCGGGAAGTGTGATAGCTTTTAAACAAGTCATCTCCAGTTGTTTGTGTTAACCTAGAGTGGCCATCTCAATTACAGGTTAGCATTTATAGGAAATGTCTAAATAACACCGGCTAATCTGGTTGTTAGAAAGGATCTCAGGGACATGTTCATGAATGGTTGAAGGGTTTAGGGTGACTTCCCATTATTTCCATAGTCTGGACCCAAATGAAACTTCAGCGTTTATCTGGGCAAGTGTAATCTTATTTAACACAAAATTTTCAGTGACAACTCAGTAATATGCTCCTGCCTTTCATAATAAAACTACCTCATTTATTGTTGGATATTATATTTTTAATATTAAGCAGGGATGGATGGCATCAGTCCAGAACAGTCTCCTCTCCCCTTCTCCCACAGCTGCACTAGGAACACATCTACATTAGCGGGTTGGCTCTTTGTCCTCGAAGGGAATCCAAATGCTCTGCTTGCTCCTGTAAGCTACTTCCAGTCCTACCAAAAACTTGAAACCAACACCATCTTCTGCCCTCCTGGATGGACCATGAAACTTTGACTTGCAGTCAAGTAAGAAAAGCATCTTCTTACTACTCTCCCCATGTAAGAAACTGCGTTTGAGGACCAGTCATTTGGACATTGCTTCAAAAGGCACATTTATTCCAGTGGCAATTTAAATAAGTAGAGAAGGAAAGAAAAAGATTAAAAACAAAACATACAAACAAAAACCAGGATGAGTTTTGTGGAATACATTAATTAAAGTAAACAAAAATCTGGGTCTATACAAACCACTCGAGCTCCTCACCAATAGTTTAACCAAAGTCCCTAAGGTAGAATAATTCACAGTTGTATCAGACACAGACCTTCAGAAAACACTGTTTAAGAAAGTAGTTGAGAACTCTCAAGCAGCTTGCCCTGATGTCCAGTTCAAGTGTATGCAGTGCAGAAGGCTGTGAAATTCAAAACTATGTGACAAAGAAAATTCAGTGCATATCACAGGCTTTGATAAATTATTAAAAATCATTGTATATATTACTATTTAAATAACATCTGAAAAACATTTTGAAATAATTAACGTGTTCACATTCCATGCATTTTCTAGCAGGTTAAGCCCTGGGTTTGCGTCTCTGTGCCTGTTTTCCTACAAAGCTCCATTCTTTTGACAAATCCAAGCATTCCTCAGGCCGAAATAAAAGTTCCCAAAGATTCTATTTACCCTCTTTACTGTGTACCTGACCACATATAGGCTACTCCTTATTACCAATGGCACAGATAATTGGAAAAGCAAACTCTTTGGGGCTTTATTTGGGATTTTACTCACTGCCTTTGAAAAATCCCTGGATGCCAAAGACATCACCTGAATTTTTTTCCAGGGGCAAGAACCAGTGACTTACCTCCCTCCCGATTGACCATCCCTCCCCCAACCTCCCTCTCTCAAAGCCTCCAGTGGGATGGGATCCCTTTGTAGCAGTGAACTTTTTCCCTGCGGTTTTGCAGCACCTTCCTTGAGCAAAGAAGAAAACACAACGAAACTTGAAAACAAACCAACGGTAGCAACAACAGAAACTCCAAACAGATGGGTGAACCGGTAGACTCCTCCAAGGCGGGAGGCTCACTTTTTACTGCAGAATTCGGAGCTGTTTAGGAACTTCCTGATGACCAGCCCCAGGCAGACCACCAGCAGCAGCATGTAGCCCACGGTACCCGAGAAAGTGGGTGCGGCAGGCGGAGCCTGGAGGAATTGGCGCAGGCCCTCTTCTACGTAGTACACCTGGTCGTAGATGCTGAGGAAGGTGAAGATGTGGAAAAGCTGGTGGCTGTGGCCGATGATGTCGAAGAGACCCGGCTGGATGCGCTCGGGGATCTTGCTCACGTTGAAGAAGGCGGCCACCACCAGCCAGAAGTAGCGGCGGTAGAAGTGCACGAAGAGCGTGGGGTTCTCCCCACGCAGGTCGAAGAGCCAGCTCTCGAGCATAATGGGGCAGGCCATGCTGAGAGGCATGACGAAGACGAAAGTGCGCAACGCAAACGGGTAAGTACACCAGTCGGTGCGGCTCTTGCAGCAGGCCACAGTGCAGGCCACCGCCAGCACGAAGGCCACGGGCAGCACCAGGGCGCGGTAGGCGGCGATAAGGCGCGTGCAGTCTACGTGCCAGCCCAGGCGCTGCTGCACGTATGGGGTCATGACTCTGGCATCCAGCAAGCTGAGGCCGGGCAGCAGGTAGTAGTAGTAGGCCACGGTGCTGCCGAAGCCGTAGTAGCTGATGGACGCGTAGTCCAGATAGAAGAAGGCAGCGCGCAGGCGCAGCGACAGGCAGCTGAACACGTGCGCCGTGCAGCTCATGGCGAAGGTGAGCAGCACTCCTGACGCGTAGCACCACAGCGGCAGCAGCCACGGGTGGTGGAAGGGCACGTCGCCGCCGCTCAGGAAGAACAGACGGCAGAACTTGCTCAGGAACAGCAGCAGCGGGATGAAGTGCGTCCAGAAGTTGAGCGTCTCGTTGGTAGGCTTCAGCACCGAGGCTAGGCACTCCTGGGCCGTGCACGGCAGACGCCGGTAGCCCGACAGGATGAAGCACTCCACGAAGTCGTCGGGCACCTCGTCCCACCGCAGCAGCGGCTTGGCGGACGCTGGGGGGTCCCCGGAGGCGGCTGAGTGGGAGTGCCGGGCGGGCCCCGAAGCTGCTGGGGTCGGGGCTGCGGCCGGAGGGCCCTTGGTGCCCGCGCCCCGGGGCTGCAGGCGCCGCGGCATGGTGCCCGGGGCTCGGCTAGGGCGCGCGCAGGCGACCTCTGGCGCTGGCTCCCAGGCCCTGGGCAGCCCCCGCCGGCCGCCGTCGGAGCCTTTGTGCCCGCGCCGGGGGCGTCGCTGCGGGTTTAAGAGAAGACCCGTGCCTCCGAGCAGCCGCTCCTAAAAATTAAATAAATCAATGAGAGACTCAATTAATAGGCAGCGCGGCGACCGGCAGAAGCGCTGAGCGCGCGGGGCTCGGCGGCTTCCTCGCCAAGCCACTGCTATCGGCGCGCGGCCGCCCGCGCTGCGGCAGCGGCGGCTGAGGCGGCGGCGGCGCGGCTGACTGCGGCGGCGGTGACTGGGCATCGCGCGGTGCGGGTGCCTCCGCCGCCGCCCCCGGAGCGGGAGGCGGGGATGTGCGAGCCGAGGCGCGGAGGGAGGGACGGGCGCAGCGAGCAAGGGCGGGGGCCTCCCAGGCTAGGGTTTCGCGGCCGCCTCGGGGGATAGAGTTGTCCCGGCTCTCGAGTTCCGTACCATCCCCCTCCTTGGGCCGCCCGGTTAATGATTGATGCGGGGGCCGAAGGCTGGTCGGCGGCGCGGCGGCGCGCGCGCCGAGGGCGAGGGTGGCCCAGGGGTTCGAAACCCGACAGCCACGCGGGCGTTCTGGAGGACACTGGGGAACCGCGTTCGCGGGGGGCGGGGAGCTGCGGCTGCGGCTGCGGGGGGAGGGGAGGGCGCCCGAGCCGGGCAGGGCGGAGAGATGCGCCAGCGGTAATCTCCAGAGGTGGCCGGGGAGGGCGGCACTCCGGAAGTCTGGAGGCTTTGAGCCCGCGTCCGGATCAGGGCCATGTCATTGTCAGCTACCTGGGGCTGAGCCGCTCTCTCCCTTTCTCGTCTTTGCGTGTGTTCGTGTGTGTGTGTGTGTGTGTGTGTGTGTGTGTGTGTGTGTCTGCCTCTCTACGCACTACACGAAGCCTTAGTTGGTATCCTTTCGTCGGTGGGACGCACTCAGGTGCGTCACCATCCTCCCATTTCCCTCGCCCTTGTCCTGTCCGAACAAACCGTCCCCAAGCTGGCCTGTGGTCGGGCTCACCAGCCCTTCGAGCCGCAGCTAATCCATCTTCTTGTTCTCGTGTCTGTAGCTAGGAATCCTATCTGGAACCGAGTCCGACAGCTCAGGACTGGCTGCTCAAACTCCACAATTTAATGAAAAATCTCAGATGATGACTCAAAACCTCTAACGAACTGAAGAATGTATGAAGGGGTTCCAAAGTCAAAGGCTGATCATAGAGGGCATTGATGAGGGGACACTTGAGGTAGGGGGTGCATTCTAGCAGGAACTGAAGCGAATGACGTCCCTTTGGTAGAAACAGGGAAGGAGTGGCTTGGATTAATCTTATGTATAATTAATCAGAAGTACGGTACCTGGCAGGCTAGGTTGGGTGGCTAGAGGCCGGAAGAAATGAACACTTGAAGAATCAGAACGGTTGTGATGCACTGCAGTGTGAAAATATGCCCTTGAGCCTTAAAGAAAGGGGCTTAAAAATGTGTCTGTTCTAAAATGTTCACCGTGTCACAGAAGTTTCTCTCGGTGGGATCCGGGAATGTGACTGAGTCTAAGTTGCATTTCTGATTTGTAGTATATATAACAAGAGCTAACTTTTAAGGGGCCACGAAGTGTTCTAAGTGCCTTACGTTTTTACAATCTTTTAGGAATTATTTTCTCCATTATACAGACGAAATGGAAAGCACCACGACTCTAAAGAACATGGTAGAAGGGGGGTTTGAACCCAAGTGGGTTGCTTCCACATTTCAAGTATTAAACCAGAATATCCAACAACCTGCTTTGCTCTAAGGATACTGGTAGTTTCTGATTTAGAAAAAGGCTTCCATTTTCACTTAAAATACATTTCATTTTCATTTTAAAAATGAAAGGCTACTTTCATCACTACTGTACATCCTCTAAGTAGGTTAGGGAAGATTTACTTAGTAGAGCCTCAAGATGGATTTAAGTTATGGACAAGAATTATTTATAACTAGGATATCACTCCGTATTATAATGTCTACAGTTACTTAAGGATACTAGAAACAGTCTCTAGAAGTTGCAGCTTTCTCTTGCAAGTATATTTTCCAGTAGTAACTGATTTAGCAAACTCTTACACAATTAGATCAAAGGTGCGCTTTAGTCTTCTGCCTTTCAGCACTACCACACATTCCTGCCTAGTGAATTTTTAAGAAGTGAGGTTTTGTTGTAGTTAATTTAGCCAGTATCTTATTTTAGTTTTTTCTGGTTTTCCACTGTTTGTAGCTTTGTTTTAAAACAAAATCTAGTTTTCCTTCACATCTGGACTAAGGACCCATGCCTGTTTGTAAAAGGGATTAAATTTAGGCATTTAAATCAAGTGTAGTAATGATAAACTTGAATCCAGGGCAGGCCAGAACATTTTTTTTTTTTTCATATTCCCTTTGCTACTCCACAAACAACCAGAACCGTAATGTGTAAAAAATGATTCTTATATTTACACCCTCTTAGCTGCATAATCAGCTCACTTATATAATCTAGAAAATTGAAAGTTCACTTCAAGCGAAACAATGGAACTGACTGTAAATGAGTATGCAAAACTTGAGTTAGAGAAAATAACATTTATCTTTATGACTAAGAATGGTGAGATTGACTCCAATAAAATGTTTTTTTTTTAATCAGTATTTTATAAACTCAAAAAAAATTTGTCATCTTAAGTCTTTCAAAAAGTCTTTGTGATATCTGCCTTTCTCCTTGCTCATAGATCCCCTACCCTGCCTGAGGCACAAAACCAGTTGATGCCATGGAGTGATTGGTGTTCATGAGGGTTCACTGGTGCAGAGCCCAGACAGCTGTCTTTGCTATACCTTGACAAAGCTAAGTAAAAAGGAACTAAGGAAACAGCAAAACTGACTTAACTTATAAAGCAAAATGGCAATATGGCTTTTCCTTAATTGCTACCAATCTACAGAATTAATTTTTTTTCTCCTGCTCTGAGAATTTCTCTTACTTTTAAAATTGAGGCATAAAAATGTGTTCCCTAAATCCTACACAGGCTGAGTTTATAGTTTGTTTTAACTCCAGCAAACCGTCTCACCAGTGGGAGCCATGCTCACATCCTCTGGGCTTGGCTAAACAAGCAGTGGGCAGGCTGCCATTCCTTGAAAGTGCATTGGGAGATAAGGCATCTCTAAGGTAACCAGGACTGACTACAAAGTTTTTGACAGACAAGAATCACCAGGTAACATTGGAAAGCCATTGCTGTCATTTAGAGGCAAAAGCCAGCTAGTTCTATCAGTTGAAATTAAATCAAGACCACAAATGTGGTGTTGGTAGGTAGTTCATTCAGGTGGAGGCTCTGTACATACAGGTATTGAGGAGTCCTGGCTGCAAAATGCAGTCATATGTACAAACTGGAGCAAACTGGATGAATGCTTCTTTCAATCTGATGTTCTTATAGACCAACTACACGTGTGTGTTTTTTTCTACAGGAATAAAATGAAGTTTATGTAAGAATTCCACAGCAAATTTGATGTTTAGTAAGAGCAATTAGCTATCTGTAAAAGCAGCAGAAAAATATGCTGTGTTATTTGCTAATAACATGCCAGTTTTTAGAGGAAATAATTTTTTTCTAGTCTAATTTTTAGCCAAAGAACAATGACAAAAGAAAGAAAGGAAAGGAGAGAAAGAAAAGGAAGGAGAGAGAGAGAAAGAAAAAAAAAAGAAAGAAGGGAAAAGAAAAGAAAAAAGAAAAAAGAAAAGAAGAGAAAAGAAAAGAAAAACACTGTGGACCTAGTGTTTAATTGTACCCAAGACTCTGTATTAAGAGAACTCTGCAGGGTTCAATCCCTCTCCTCATAATATATAGTTTAGGCCAGGCACCGTGGCTCACGCCTGTATTTCCAGCATGCTGGGAGGCTGAGGCAGCCAGATCACTTGAGGTCAGGAGTTCGGGACTTCAGCCCCTTCCACAGCTTCCTTGACCTAGGATGGTGGTCTCTGTTCGGTAGCTGTTTTTCCCAGGTCTGCTCTTCCTGTTTCCTGACTGGAGCCTATATATAAATATAGTTTAAACAAAGTGCTTCCTTTTTCCCCAAATGGAAAACAGCCATGATCTGACAGGTCAGATATAGTCACTACCAAATCATAGAGTCTGAGCTTTCTAATTGTGGAAAATCTTATGGCATCAGGTGTAACTGTAGCAACCTCTGGTGACAAATACAATCAGAAAGCAGATAGAGGGCTGGGAGAGAGCAGTGGGAGACTGAATTAACTGGCACTGTTCCTGCCTGCTACTGACTGGGTAACAGGTATCTCTGTTTGTTTGTTTATTTATTTATTTATTTATTTATTTAGAGATGGAGTCTCGCTCTGTCACCCAGGCTGGAGTGCAGTGGCATGATCTCGGCCCACTGCAACCTTCGGCCTCTGAGTTCAAGCAATTCTCCTGCCTCAGCCTCCCTAATAGCTGGGATTACAGCCGTGCACCACCATGCCTGGCTAATTCTTTTATTTTTAGTAGAGATGGCATTTCACCATGTTGGCCAGGCTGGTCTGGAACTCCTGATCTCAGCTGATCTGCCCATGTTGGCCTTCCAGAGTGCTGGCATTACGGGTGAGAGCCACCACATCCAGCCAATAGGCATCTCTTTTGAAGAAAAGCTAAGGGAAACTTGTTGAGGATGCTTTTTGTTTGGGATGGGGGGGTGTTTTTTTTTTTTTGGTCTTTCAAGGTTTTATGAAGGGAATGATAATGCCACACTCCCTTCCCTCAAAAAATTCACCTGTTTTCTTCCTGAGGTCTCTAGAGTGGCTGCACAAGAAGACTAATGAAGGGGAAGAATAAAATACCACAACTTCTGCTTAAATTGATGTCATCCTTTTCCATGGGCATACTCTCTGAAGGTTTAATGATACACTAATAGGAAGTCCATGAGGATAATGTATAAATAATATGTTTGGACATAAGGGAGAAGCAAAACACTTCACCTGATTAGAATGTGTGTCACCCAAACTGTTTGCTGACCTCTGCTCAATACTCCATTGCTCTTGTTTGGCCAGCCTGCTTCCATCCCCTTTCCCAGATCCAAGAGGGATGCCACTTCCTGCCACTCAAGTGGCTGGAAAGTGTGTTTGGGGTCACCATCTGTAAGCCAACAGTCCCCAACCCCTGACCAGACCTGCCCAAGTACCCAGGCCTTCGGCCCCTTCCACAACTTCCTTGACCTAGGATGGTAGTCTCTGTCCTGGAGCTGTTTTTCCCAAGTCTGCCCTTCCCGTTTCCTATCTGAAGCCTATATCATCTTCCCGCAAAAGCCTTGTATTAACTTACTGTATTGAACCTAATTCAGCGTTACCTTTTGGGGAGGAGACTCATTTTATCATAGGCTGTTGCTTGCTTTTGGTAGAGCCTTTTGGATAGCTTCCATTTAACTTGAGAAACGCACAAGTGTGTGAGCTAGATTACTGAGTTCCTTCTCCCCATTATTTATATCAACAATTCTTCTTGAAGCAAAGCACTTTGCATGTAGTAAGCACTTAACACATTGTGGCTGGGAAATCTTTTTAGTACTGTAAGCTTTTAAAAGGTTGGAACTTAGAGTCCTAGAATCTTAGAGTAGCATTGCCACTTA